AAATAAGCTACTCTACTTCTTATTATAAAGAAACTAGAAGGTAGTATTTAAATTTATATTAATTACTAAGGCCTTAATATCTATACTATTAAGAACTAGAATATACCTTCTTTTATTTATAATATACTAATAAAGTTATCTAAAACACGCTTCTTCTCTAAGGTTAATATTATTACTATCTTTAATAAAATTTATATTAAGAATAAATATAAGTATCTCTCTATATTTATTACTTTATATAGTCTTTATTAGTATATAGTTATACTCTTTAGTATATATAATAGCTCTAGCACTTTCTAAGTCTATATTAATAATATTCTATATAAGTACTTAGATAAGTTCTATATAGTATACCTTAATAATATTATTATCTTTAGCAAGACTAAAAAGTAATATAATAACTACCTTAAGTAAGTAGTTATATAATTAAGTAATATAGGCTTACCTATAGATATACTTAAGTCTAAATTTATATAGTAAGAGGTAAAGTTTCTAAAACTTATTATTATAGCCTAAGGTATTAAAATAGATTCTAAGAAGATCTAAGCTATTTAAGACTAGTAGCTTCTCTATATACTAAAAGATATATAAGCTTTTCTAAAATTTATAAACTTCTATTAATAATTTATTTATAGCTTTTCTAATATAGCTAAGCTTCTTACTTATTTTATAAGAGGCAACTCTAAGCTATTTAAAATAAATTTAGAAGTAGCTTACTTCTTTAAGCTTTTTAAAGCTATATTCTATAGTAATATTATTTTTATCTACTTTAATACTAATCTTAAGTATATTATTAAAACTAATACCTCTAACTATATATATACTATAGTACTTTTATAAATTTAGCTTAATAAAAGTATCTACCTAGTTATATATCTATCTAAGAAGATAACCTCTATAGAATATAACTATAAAATCTATAATAAGAAACGTCTTACTATTATTTAAGCCTTTAAAAAGTAGCGCTCTAAGCTAGTAGATATTAATAATACTATAGAAGTTCTTACTAATTATAAAAGCCTAGAGTACTTTTAGACTAAGCGTTACCTTAACTAATAATAAGCTTAATAGACTAAATTTATAGAAAAGTTTAATTTTAGAGTTAAGTATAGGCCTAGTAAATAAAAAACTAAGTCTAATAGTCTTATAAGAAGAATAGAAGATCTTCTAAAGAATATTACTAATAATAGAATATAGTATTAGTATTAGACTATTCTAGAAGAATACTACTAGAATAGTAGTAGTTATAACGTAGTAAACCTAGTAAGCTTATATCTCTAGAAGATTAACTATAACTTATTATCTATTCTTACTTTTATCTATAAAGATAGTAAAGATATATTAGACTCTAGGTTTTCTATAATTAGACTTACCTATCTATCTTTATAAGAAGAGTATAACCTATATAATAATCTATCTATAGTAGATAAGCTATCTACTTAAGATATTATAAACTATCTCTACTTATTAGATACTTATTTTACTACTATATAATATACGTTATATAATAGAGATAAGTGTATCTCTTACTACTTTATTACTAAAGAAGTTTATCTAGAACTTAGTAATATTAAGAATAGAGAAGATAAGCTCTATATAAGAGATAACTATTTAATAGTTCTCTTTAGTAAGAAGCTCTATACTTATATTATTAAGAATATATATAACTCTCTACCTAGTAGTTATAGTAAACATACTATAATATACTAATAAGTAAGCTAATAGTACTATTAGTAAGATATAATAGATATAATTACTTAATTTACTAATAGCTATATAATATACTACTACTCTAAGTCTAACTATAGCGCAAAGTATAGCCTCTTCTACTTTCTACTAGTACTTAAGCGCTATTAGAAGAATATCTTTATTAACTTTATTATACTACTACTATTCTCTATATAGTATAGATACTTATATAGATATATTATAGTAGTTATTAACTATTTTTTTAAAAAGAAGAAGTTTATTACTATAGAAAATATAGAAGTGTCTATAGTTATTAATAAGTTTCTTAAATATATATTGTGTAAGAAGAGCTATTCTAAGAGTATAGTTAGTAACTATAGATAGTAGTTTATATTCTATTTCTAGAGATATCTTTATAATTATATAGATACTTAACCTAAGTTATCTATATTATATTACCTAGAGACTAATAGATAGATAGAGAATATAAATATAGATTTTAAATAGTACTTATACTTTTATATAAACTATCTATAGAATAACTAGACTTAGCTATTATTACTAGTAGAGTTTAAAGTAAACTCTATAATTAGTTTAGTAACTAGAGTTTCTCTATTTTAGGCTACTAAAAGCTACTAACTCTAATTAGGCTTAGAGCCTATATATATTATTAATAATATAACGCCTACTATCTACGCTTAATAACTTAACGCTAATACTCTTACTTAGTATATTAAGACTACCTACTAATACCTTTATAATAAGATTACTTAGTTTAGAAAGAAGATATATAACTTTACTAATATCTATTACTATTCTACGCTATAGTTCTAGGTTAGAGACTAGGTATTACTAAATATAAAGTATATTAAGACTAAGTAGCTAGTTAAGTTACTTAACTATAAGAATATAGAGCTATACTAAGTTCTCTAAGTAATTAATTATATAGCTTATAAATTAGACCTCTCTACTAGCCTTAAGAGCCTATTTTCTACTTTCTATTTATAGCTTCTTTAGCCTTATAAAGATAACACTCTACTAGAATAGCCTTAAGCTAGTAATATTACTTCTTCTAAAGTCTACTTTATTAATAGTAAAGTTAAATATACTATTACGCAGGTCTTAGATAGCTAGATTAACTAATACACTACTAATCTCTATACTAGTTAATAGAAATACTTATAATATAAAGTTAAGTAGGTTAGTAATAATTAATTAGATAACTAGTAGCTATACTTTAATATATAAAGTAGTAAGAAGTCTCTCTAGAATTACTATAACTAGAATCTAGATAAGCTAGGCTCTTATAATATATTTTATACGTATAATAACTATAGTAAGCTTACTATTACTTTACTCTATCTAAAGAATACTATATACTTAGAAAGAACTAGCTAGTTATTTATAAAGTTACCTAGCTATATTACTTATAAAGTCTACTATATAGACTATAATATACGTTTTTACCTAACTTTAATCTTTTTAGATAATAGTAGTTATAAGAGAACTTATTTCTCTACTTACTACTTTATATTCTTACTTTATTTATAATTCTCTAAGGTACTCTAATATATTAATAACTAAAATCTTATAACTATACTAGTAGTATCTATACACTTATCTTAGACTATAATAGACACTAGTGTATAGCCTAGACTCTTTTCTAAAGGTATAGCTATATTATCTATTTTTTCTTTATATACTTAGTTAGAACTTTAAGCGCTTTAGAAGAGAAATATATAATAGTTTAGATTCTTAGTTATATTAGTCTAACGTTAGCCTAATACTTCTATAATATATATTTACCTCTAATAGCTTTTTATAAGCTCTTTACTATAATTACTTTATTATTTCTACTTATTATCTATAAGACTCTTATATGTATATCTAATTCTTAGTATACTTTATTAGAAATAGTGTAAAAGTAGTTAAAAGTAATCTCTATTATTGCTAAAAGATATGTGCAAAGTATCTTCTATATTGTAGAATTGCTTAGTAAAGGCTTTTATCTTATGTTATAAAGTTACCTATAATAGGTGCTTATTAGCTAAACTTAGAATAATAGCCTTCTAACAGCACATCCTAGAAAGATAGCGTATTACAGCCCTATCGACCCCCCGGTGTTGCGCGCTACGGTGGGCTACCTAGGTAGATTCGGCTGGGTTCAAAGGTTGATGGAAGTATCAGAGGTCTCATATACGCAATGTATGGCACATCGTGCGCAAACATGCTGCGTGTACATTACCTAGGTACGAGGGTGACGTCGTCCGATGCTCACAGTTGGGGGCTGAGGGAGCTGGGAAATGCGCTGGTCAATGCGTGCCGGCCGTTCGGCCGCCCAGTCCCGGGCCCGCGCCAGCCCCCAAATTTCTTCCTGCTACTGGGTCTACGTTCATCATTCACTTAATCCACAGAACCACGAAGTTCCATGACTTATCGCATACTACATGTCAAAATGGCGCATGCGATGCTGCTTTAAAAACCCTCACCGCTACAGCCACCCTGCGTCTAGGCCTGCCAGGTGCATTGCAGCCGACCCTCGTGCTTTCTGCCGCCCCATAGTCCAGTCTACCCTCACTCTTTACCGAGACACGCCACCCGCGGCTGTTAAACCCAGATGCCTGCTGCATAAGTTCATGTGCACCATACATCTCGTCGTGTATGCGTCCAATCATTAGGTACAAGCCATTATGTGCCAAGGTATGAGTTACGCGTAGAAGACGCGATTGTACCTAGGTACCTATGCAAAGTCGCCCCAGCCAACATGTCTATCGCCCAGAGCCGTATGGCTCAGCTCGCCGCTGATTTCACGCATCATACCCAACGAGTGGCCGAGTATCTTTCCAAAAAACACTCACCGCAGCCAACCAGCATCGAAAGCTCCAGTACTTTCAAGTTTATAGCAGACCATGCACCTGCGGGACTGACTTCTCGTGCAGGGCCTTGGATTTTACAATGCTGGAGATAGGTAATGCCGGTGAGCAAGAGTTGGAAGAGTGGAAAAAATCGCTCGCCGAAGCCAACGCGAGATTCAAGTTTCGCGACTTGCACCAGCCACCGGGTTCTGCACTCCGAATCTTCGAAGCTAAATGCGACGAGTTATTTGTAGTGCCGGACAGCTTCCATTGGAACGGATACCTTTGATGCATCAATGAGTTGCATTACATTATTGCCGAGAAAGAAATGCATGGTCATTCATCGATTGATTCATTTATCATCAAAGATCGTAAGTAAAGCATTATCCTTCCAGTCGTTCGATACCATAGACTTGTCGCAGCTCCTGCCCTCCATCTTTTCCCAAGCCCGAGAAGTTATTCCTTACGGCGCCACTGGTAAACCATGCCGTCGTCATCGTCGCTGTTCGTGTGCTCCCACACAATGACTGGCTTGAAGCCAGGGGCCGCGTCGGCTTTGGGTGCGGCGGCCGCATCTACTCATAGCATTAGCAAGATGACGGGTCCAGCGCTCGATGTTAACTGACCGCGCTTCGGCTCGACAGGCAGTGCACTAGCAAAGAAGCCGCAAGCCGCCAAAGCGGAGAAGAAGACAGTCGCGAGATGCATATTGTGGTATAATTATGACTGATCGAAGTGGTAATACTTTCTTTTGGGGAGTTGTCTTGTACCACCGACTCCGCTGCAGTGCCATACGCTGGTCTTCTATACTGGTCTACAGCTATCCCGCGATTGCTGATGCTGACCTCACGTCCTCAGACTTTGCATCGCATTGCATCGCATTGCATTGTACACGTGGACAAGCTAATGCGACTAGATCCTTCGACTTGATCCCGTGTGTTGCTGTCTACGAATTCCACAACTGATGTTGCTCTTCTCAGGTGAGGTCGCTACGCCCCAGATAACGGTCCAAGCCACTAGCCGATCCTTTACCAGTCGGGCTAGAGGAAGGATCTGTCAACCTTGACAATTACCACATGGCGCTCGCGTGGAAGCAGCAGGAATGCCGCGGAGAACGTTGTCCAACCATCTGCAGTCAATTGACGCCCGCCTGACGCGTTTGGTAGTTCCCTTGCATAATGTTGGAGCCCTGACGTGGACAGCATGTCCGTAACGATATGCTCGCTGCTTTGCCGGCATGTGCCGGATGGATCTCGATGCCCACGTTGCGGCAGTTTACAAATAACAACTGTGTACGTTTCCCGATCAGTGTCACAAGCATTTCCATTGCCCACGCATCTGAGCTCATACGACTGAACAACCGACATGGCGAAATTAGGAGGTTATCTACCGGTTTCCTCGTCGGATGGTGACCCCACTGTTGTTCTATCTGAGACGAAGCCCGATTCAACCAGTCGAAGACTGTTACAGACGTTGATCGTCATATTAAGCGTAGTCGCGACCTTGGGTCTTGGTTATTCGCTGGGTTCTTCCAGATCCAGAACCAGTACACTATCTAGCACGATATGTAGGCTTCACAACTGTTCAGTCATGTGGATAGGAACTCACTCTTCTCAGTACCTCCTGGAGATGTACACTACTACATGAAGTTCAACAAAACCTTTCCTCAGAGACCGAACGAGGAGAGCGATGCAGCATGGGCTTCTCTTTTTCCAGAGAAACTGGGCTTCATCCAGCATCCGGAGTTAGCACCAAATGTGGCCGGCATTGCTGTCTTCCATGAACTTCATTGTTTGGTATGTAAACAGTGTGCCATAATCAACCCAGACTGACCTCATAACAGAACATGCTTCGACAAGCCTTCTGGGCTTCGGTAGATGGGAAGTTGGTGGAGATGGGTGATGAGTCTCGTGAAAAGAACCACCGCACCAGCCACCACCACGTTCGCCACTGCTTTGAGTACCTGCGTCAATCACTCATCTGTCTTGCGGATGCCAACCTTGAGACGATGAACTATACTGCGCGCGGTATCTCTGGATGGCAGACTGAGAGGACTTGCAGAGACTACGACGGATTGGTGGACTGGGCTGATGAATGGGGTATCCTGAGACAAGAGGCACTGCATAACCACGACCTTGAGGCGAACTTCGTGAATGAGAGCGACAAGTTGTAACTCAGCATGAATCTACCTTATACGTAACGAGAAGCCTTTATGCATGCGGTTTTGTTCTCTCTGTGATGTGCTCAGGGCCAACATCCTCAGGCTTGACTAAGACTCCGTCCGCAAAGATGTCGATGGAGCGGGCTTTAGTCCATGTCATGAGCGCATCAAAGTCAACACACTGGTGCGAAGCCCAACTTCGTGCCGTCACATCATTGCCTCCCCCCGATAGGTAGGTGTACGTTCCTAGCGACACATCACCCCTACACATGATGCCCTGTCTCAGTGTTTCGATGCAATGGTCTACAGCTGGGTCAGAGACGCCTGGAGGAGACTGAATGACGGTCGCTAAGACTTACTGATGTGCCGTTCCAACTCGTTACGGGCAAGACCCTGTACATCTTCAAAGTACGACTCCTTGTACATCCATTGCCTTATCTTCTTCTGCAGACCTTGTCGGTATATGCACCTAATTATTTCGACCGAGAAAGACTTACGAGACAATGCAGTTCGTGAGTCATGAAGATTTCGGATGCGTAGCCAGAGCCATCGGCTAAGGGTAGAGACGTGACGTTGTAGTAGTCCAAGTCCTCGCGAGCGACGCGGATGACGGTACCTGTCACAGCACATCAGTCAAAGATCGCAAACTACAGGTTAATTAGGTGGAATTCTGACCTTCCAGTAGTTCATGCCATGCGTGATCTAACTCGGGGCTTGGAACGCCAGCAAACGGGGTGTCTGCCACCGTCAAGGGGAAAACACGGCTATCTTGACGAAACGATGTGGACTTCGCAAGCGCTGCGGACCGATTTAGCTTGTATTTCGAATGGGAAGATGGTGCGGCTAACACGGGAAGAGTTCAGGCTGCAAGCCTCGTATCTGAGACTCCAGATCCATAGAGTGAAGCTTCAACTTCAAGTAGAGGCCTCCAAAGATTACATAGCTCAGGATCATCGTAAGAGCGATGACTCTTACTACTATCGGATACCTGCTATGTACTAACACAGGCTTTCCGCGGAACGGTGTACTCTCGTCGTCGGACGGAGGCCATGCCGCCTCGGTGTTGTCAATGTCCTTTTCGTGATCGGACATATTGGCAGACTACAGTCGATTCTGAGTCTATGGGTTTGGGCTTTTTCCAGGATGCAAAATGAGCCGGAAACCTTGGAAGTCTTTCTGACCTATCTAACTGGTGCTAAGAACGACATTAGACATGTGATGTAATGTCTCCGCGGAGTGATCTCAAATCCTTCAATAGCTCACAGCGGCAGTGCCGCTTTAGCAGCACTCACCAAGAACGTTGCGACGTGCATATGTGATAGCGAGGCGAAACAGAAACCCCTTGCATCTCGGTTGCATGTGGCACGGTAGGGAGACCTCGCCACAGGGCGTTGGAACCCTCCAAGTACCTCCGTACCCGCCGCAACTGCGTGCAAACCTTACCTCGGTACTCACTCGTTACACAGCATATTGTTACTGGGGGTCAGACTTTTCGTTCTTACATCTGGACTGTCTATATCGTATGCGAAGACCGGCAGCTGCCCCAACCGTGCCCCTTGCCAAAATAAGCGACGTACAGCTTTAGGCTGCATAAAGTGGATACTACATGCATGGCTTGGAACGCACCCAACTTTATTGCGCTGGCAGCCACGCTAGCATTCCTAGCTACTGTCTCTGTTGCATTGAGGATTTGGGCGCATACGAAGTCCAACAACAAGTTCGGTCTAGATGATGTCTTGATAGCTCCGGCTTTGGTTAGAGGACCTATTTGTTGCGATGATTACGGCTAACAACATCGTAGTTATGCGTTGTCGGCATGGCGATCACCTTGATTCTTGGTCAGTGAAACTACCGGGCGATGAACTCTCGTTTTGACATGGGCAATAGGGACGGAATATGGCGCTATGGCGCAACATCAGGTGAATGAAATGGGTCCTCAAGGCCCCATCTATACGAGACAGTTAGCTGCATACGGAAGGGTACGTCCATGCCTTGTTCTTCGATGGGTCTGCTAATGCTTGTAGGCAAACTATGCCGTGCAGCTCCTATCGCTGGCTTCTTTGGGCTTCAGCAAGACTTCTGTTCTCTGGTTTTATCGACGAGTATTTTTCGTGTACTTGCGGTTTCTTGCCATCAACACAGTTTTGATGGTCATTGTTGTGGCTTGGGCGGTGTCGTTCTTCTTTGCCTTAACGTTGCAATGTAGCGATCCTCGTACGTTGTGGACGACCTTCGAATATGCAAGGATAGATTGCGTGGACACTCAACGACTTTATTACGCTGTCGCCATCAGTGGTTTCCTCACCGACCTAGCCATACTGGCATCACCACTCCCAGTCATATACCAATTGCAGATGCGACGGAGCAAGCGCATAGCAGTAGCGGGTCTTCTGCTACTAGGAGCTCTGTCAGTTTCCCGACGATAACGCACCATGGTAAGCTAACGGGCTCTAGTGTGTGTGGCGCAGCGATAGCTCGTATCGTCACTTTTGTTAGAATTGGTCGTGATGTCGCTGACAACTTCGACGATCTTACCTGTATGTTGTCAGTCATCGCATGAGGAACCCTACATAGCTAACAGTAGGCTTAGACTTCACTACACCAGTTTTCGTATGGAGCACCGTCGAGTCTGCGCTCGCTGTTGTCAGTGCTAATCTCCCATTTTTCGGACCGCTTCTACCTCAGAAATTTCGAGTCGCGACAGAGATGTACACATTCTTCCAAACCGTTTGGCCCAAGTCACCAGACAGTGAAGAGCCAACGGCAGACGACTCGACGAAGGAAGAGTCAATCAGAAGCATGCTCAGTTTTGAACTAGGACCCGGGCGTCCCAGAATAAACTACGAGTCGAATGTTAACAGCGAGGCCATAAGGATGGGTATTAGCGCTGGTGAACTGCAACAAACGTTGACGACCACTACGACAGTACCTGGCGCCTTTCCTGCAACATTGCAATGGCTCGAAGCCTTGCCGATGTCAGCCAGGCCACTTAGGGAGCTTAGTGGACTTAGTGTCAACTCATCAGAAGCTGAGGATACTTGAAAAAGAAGAAATTTTGTACATATAATGATAAACTCGATGACCGAAGTACGCGTGAGGACGCTCTCACGTTCCGAACCGGGAGGCCGAAGAACCTGCGCACGTGCCATCCTTGACGTCACCCACTTAGCTATGTGGAACTCGAACCGCATCGCAAGCGCGGGCAATCTTCTGCAACCAAACCACCGATTCGTTCAAACCTGCTCTTGACTTTCTGTCACACCCCTTTTCTCCTTCAACCTTATCCACTCTGCCAAGTCCTGCTGGCTTCTCGTCATCGATTCGTATCGCTGGCCGTCAATGATGATGTCGTCGTGACCCTGCAGGTGCAGATACCAGTAGAGGACGCCGACAAAGAAGCCGCCGCCGACGATGTTGCCAAGTAGTGCAGGAGCGATACCTTTCCAAACATACATGCCGATGGTAATGTCTGGTGAGCCATGGAAGATGGCATTGGGTATCAAGAACATGTTGGCGACGACGTGATCTGATGCAATGTCAGCTAATTGTAAACGTTGACACAAACGTGTGGTACTTACCGAAGCCCAGCGATACAAACGCGAATGTTGGCCACCATATCCCCACTACCTTGGAAACATAGTCGCGACCCGAACATCCGAGAAAGCAAGCTAGACAGACCAACCAGTTGGCGCCGATGCCTTTGAGAAAGATTTGGTACCATTCTGGCTCGACTTGTTTCTTGTAGGCGAAGTGGAGCGACTCTTCTCGATATAGCTTTCCGTCGAAAAGTCCACCATCTATCACAACGGGTCAGCTTCAAACTTCCAGGTCGCTGCTGCTATCAGAGACTTACATCCGACGATCACACAACACACGAACAAGCTTCCTGCGAGATTCCCAAAAAAGGTTACCACCCAATGCCTCAACATCCGCCAGATGCTGAGTCGTCGATGTAACGCAGCAACAGTCGTGTACATGAAGCTGCCAGTACACAGGTCGCTGCCAGTCATCTGTACTATAACTAGACCGTACGGAAATACGAGCGCGGCAATTGTCTTGATCAGGCCTGGAGCATTCTCCTGGTACCATGGCGAGGTGTTGGTCGATATGAGCGTTGCGCATGCGAAAGACAAGATCATGCCAGCGGAGCAGGCACTGAGGAAGCTCTTGTCGACACGCATATACGCCTTCTTGACGCCCATGCGCGAGACTATCTCGAAAGACTCCTGAGGAGTATAGGCATTGTTGGTTGGTTGGTGCATGTTGTGAGCCCGGTGTTGATTTGGCATCGATGAAAGAGTTGTCGGGACTGCATTAATAGGTGTTGCTGTCCCAGAGGAGGGGTTCGATTGGACATGCATTGGTAAGAGGTTATGAGGCAGTACAAGTCTTGGTGATGTTGATCTGTGGGCCATGTTGATGTCGTGGCTGAGGCGATTCGTAACGGGACTCACAACAACGTTGAGCAGCGGAACCGAAGGCGAGTAATCAGAGTTTCAGCACCGATGAGGAGACGGAAGTATCCATCAAATTAAATACAGGAAGTCAAGTGTGACTCCTTACAACCACCCATCCCGAAAACCATCCGCGCGATCTCCACAACATCACCGAGGACCGAAACACCTACGGATACAAAGTCGTTCAATTTTGGCGCGCAAACACCTTGCTTATCACAAAGATGACAAAAAGTGCCAAATAGGGAATGCGGTACCGCAGGCTTGCGGCTCAATCCAAGACCTTGGCGGCTCAACCAGCGTCAATGAGACCGAGAAGTTTGTCGCCAAGGTGTCTGGGCGCAACGACGCACGAGAAAGAGCCGCAACACTACGACTGCACCCGACGGTCGATATAACGGTGATGTGAGTGTGTGAGTAATCGTGTTCAACTTTGGGGCCCCGCACGCACTCCGCATACACTCCGCGTGTGAAAGAAAGGAGTGGCTGCGCAGGCACAACGCAAGGTTGGGCATCATGCTCTTTTCGGGCGACCTTCCATACCGCTGTCGTAGAGCGCCTGTATAGCCATAATACACCGATCTCGGTGTACTGACTGCGTAACGTGTGTAGTCTGAGTACACAACAATCTTACACGTGGCATAGAGCTCATTTCCTTCGACATCTCGCGCTTTCGCAACTTTCATGCGGGTGGTGCATCTGATTTGGCATAGTCGCCGAGGGCGATATGATTCTGTGCCCAAGATTAGAAAGAAGCTTCTGGGAGACGGTCCCGACCGTAGTGGCTTCGAAGCGTGAAGCCTTGGGATCGATTCGCACTTCATCTTGAAAGCGCGGAGTCTACTATTGTAGACGCCCGCCTTCTCGACCCATCTCCTTACCTTACGCACTGGTGTAGCCGTCTTAGTTTGAGGATCGCTGCGGGTTTTCTCTTCCAATGCTCTTCGTGTACCAAATTGATCGATCTTGCAGTTGCACAGGGTATCGGGGCAAGGAAAGCGCATTCAAATGGTTGGAGACGGCTCCAAAGCGAGTAGATCGTAGCTAAAGTGATCGTGATTATGATGAGCGATGACGAGCCTTGAAATCGGAGATGACTCTGGCGTTCGCGGGCATTCTGCGGAGGGTTGATGATGACGGCCTTGTGTGTCCTCGGAGAGCTTAGTGTTATCGATAAGACTAGCGTGAACTGGACGCGTCGACGCGCTCAGTCAATTAACGGCAGGCGCGCCCAATCATCGCCAACTTTCCCCTTCTTCCCTCTGTCGTCCCACCCCGCAATTGTCTTTCTACCGCATATCAACATGGCATCCCGACCGGAGATCAAGGAGGAGGATGAGTCGGGTTTCTGCAAGTTCTTCCGCAACTTGCCTGAGAAGGACGATGAGACGGTGCGCATCTTCGACCGCGGCGACTACTACAGCGCCCACGGCGAAGATGCAAAGTTCATCGCAAACACAGTAAGCACGAACGAGCTCATTGGCGTATGACTAAGATGTTGACATACTATCAGGTATACAAGACGACAGCCGTCATCCGCAAGCTGGGACGGGAACCAGGCCTCGAATCCGTTACCATGACCATCACCGTATTCCGCAACTTCCTCCGCGACGCACTCTTCAGACTCAGCAAACGTAT